TACCAAATATGCCAAAGATGTCTACAAAATTATCTCAGTTATTATTAAAAAACTGATTATTTTTGAAAACTTTGCCACCCTGTATCTCAAAAGTTAAGGCGTTTAGGACATACGTCCATAGGACGTTTTTTCCTTAAAATGGGTCTAAGAATTACCTCCTTAAATATTAGCATGTGTTTAAGGAACACCATGTATATATACATATATACATATACATACACACATATAGACCAGACCCATGTACACACATATAATAATTTTATAAAATGTTTGATTTCTTAATACAGGCAGTTAATATGTACATACATTAATAGTCATACATACACACCTACCCTTAATACTATTTAGTGAGAGGCATGGATACGACATATTTTGTACTGCTGTCACAGCTATTCAAAATTTTGTTCAAAAAATTCCCTCAAATCATAAAACGGTCTTGTTATTAAAAACATTTTTACAGCCCTTCTGAATTTCGGATTACTATGAATATTTTTAATTTGATTCGGTAGATGGTTGAACATTTTCGTGCCATTGTAAACAATTGAATTTTGGTATTGGTGTCAGATTTTAATAAATGTAGTTTATGCTTATGAACTAAACTAGTTCCGAATAAGAAGCTACAGAAATGATAAAATAGTCAAATTCAATGAAATAAATGTATTGAAATAACTAAAATTAAAAATTATTATTTTACCAAATCGAATCAAAGTTATTTGAATTTAGTCTCCTTTATTAGCCTGTCTCCAATTTTGAGGATTTTTTCCATTTCCTGTTGAATATGATTGATTGCAAAATGTGCCTAATTTTGGATGGATAATCGTCATTCCTAATGTTTCAAAGCAGTCTCATATTTTGTGTTTCAAAAGATTTCAATTTGGGCTAGAGTGTCATGGAAACTAATCATACCTCAAATGTCAGATTGAAAGTAAATGCGTCAAAAACAATTAGAAAATGCCCATCGAACGAATTAATTTACGGGAAAAAATTGAAATAATAACGTTATTTGATGACGGTGCTCGAAGTAGCAGACAAGTTGCTCAAGAATTCAACAGAAGACATCCGCAACGAAATCGTTTGCGATGGAACGGCAGCCTCTGTGAATAAACATTTTACTCAAACCGGAAATGTATTAAAGAATCAAAATTTGAATTTTTTCAATATGAATATTAGGTTTTTGATTATTATTCCTACACTATAACAAATTTATCATTTGCGTAGCTTCATATTTAGAACCATTAATTGAAAATGGGACTTGAATAAGAAAATTACAAAAAAAATAAAATTTCGAATTTCGAAATTCGGTAGGATCAAAATCGATTTCTAAGCAACTTTTACGAATAACTTATTTCGGTATCATCAAGAAAAAAGCTCCTCTCGGATATTCTGGAACTTACAAGGATTGCTTTTCCATAATGAAATGAAGGTTTGGTAGTAAATAAATCAGCCGACTGCAATTTAATTAGCAGACAGGCCTCTCCAGTGTATTATAGTCCTGAATTAACTCCGGTATGGATGATTTGTTTTTTTTGTATCATAATCATCTAAAGTTCATGTTACCAAATCACCATTGAAACCGGCAGAATACCATATAAATTGCACTGTGTTCACATCGAAGGCCAAACATTCATCAGCCGCCAATGATGACATAATTTGTTCCATTGTAATATATAAAAATACTTACCAGATCCTTATTAGTATGCATAGTGTTTGGCCCTGGATCTTTTTTACCTTTCCATAAAGGCAGAGTTGAATTTATCGCGAGTAATTATCCGATCAAATTAAACCAAAAAATCGGGATGAAGGTACAAGAATTCACATACAGCTCAAAATTGGTAGAATTGTTCAAAAAGCTATCATAAATGAAATCTAAAAAATCCTCATCGATCCGATACCTGGAAATTATTTGGGGTCAGTGGTCACAGAAATGGTTTTTTGCGATTTTTAGCAAAACGTTAGTTTTGAAAAAAATTGTAGATCTGATATTATAGAAAATGTCTGAATACCTTTTTTCTGAGAGCCACCGTTTCTGAGATATAACGATTCAAAAACTTGAAAGAGTTGTAATCGTCATAATGTGCACATATTTCCACGTCACCTTTTAGGTAGTGTACTTGCCTTTTTTATTAATGTGGTTTTACCGGTAGGCCTATTGTAAAATGAAAGATATTGGCAAGGGTTGAAAATGATAAAAAACGGTGTAAATGTCTCCTCGTTGGTATCAAACGAATCCTCAACTGTTGATGATTCAACATTGGAGCACGACTGGCCTTGACAATTTGTACATGCTAAAGAACAAAACAGTCTGATTTCTCTGCAACAACATTTAGCACTACATTTTACACTTGCAAAAAATTGTATTAGTAGGTTTTACGGCGCAGGTGAGATTAAAGTCTGAACTGGTTCTAATGTATTGTCAACCAACCCCAGTTTTTTGGTCTAGCTGATAACCAAACCACACTTGAACTTGGTAATATACCCGTAAAAGATGTTGATGAGTAGCCGCTGAGGTTGGAGGAAGACAAGCTAATTGCACTTGTTTTTTATATCGAGTATATTTAACGAAACGTGCATATCGAAATTTTTGTTGGAGATGTGAAAG